TTGAAGATTGGAGTGACATTGGCCTTTCTCCAGTCCTCGGGCACCTCTCCTGTCCTCCAGGACCTCTCAAAGATGATGGAGAGTGGCTCAGCAATGACGTCCGCCAGCTCCCTCAGCACTCGTGGGTACATTCCATCGGGGCCCATGGATTTGTGGACATCCAGATCACTTAAGTGATCCCTCACGCAGTCCTCCTCGACCAAGGGAAAGTCGTCCTCTTTGTAGGCTTCTTCTCTTACCTCCAGGGCCTGGGATTCCTGAGGGCCTGCCTTGGCACTGAAGACTGAAGCAAAGAAGGCATTCAGTAGCTCTGCCTTCTCCGCATCCTCCAATGATAATTAAAGATAGTAAGATACAGTTTGTATGTATCCCCCCCTTCATTTAAGTCAACAACAGGAAGGAAGGCTGAACTCAGAATTTAGTGGTACAGACATTATTCTTCATGTGTGCGTTTTGACACAGTGTTAGATTTTTATTCTTTGGGGCGTTGTCCCAAATTCTGCTTTTTTTCAATTTAGCCCTTCCTGAAGAGCTATTCTGTAGCAGTGGTACGTTTACAACAGTTGTTAGTTCTGAGGAAAATAACATGTAGATGTGATCCAGTATGTGCTCAATTTCTGCTCCTCCTTCTGCCTCCTCGTCTTTGTTTTGGGGGGGGGGTGGATTGTGAGATGCTGCTTGGAGAAGAAACAGATTTTGCTGATGAGAACTGTGAACCTTAAATAATACAAAGGAAACAAATTTTTTGTTAGCTTGTTAATCTCAAGGTAGGCGATGAGGAGAGAAACCTGTTTCTGTCTTGTTTTTGAAATTCTTAAAAAGTTATTTCAAAGAGATTAAGTCAGACTGTGAATTTTGCACAATTATCTTTGTTTGTCTTCTTGTGAGACCATTTTGAGGCGCTTGAACCAGAAGATGATATCCTGACATTCTGTTCTTCCTGGACCATCAGGAGTCTTTGCTGCAATGTGTTTGACTTCTGTTGAGCAATGGCAGACTTGCAAGTTGTGGATCAGGGGAGGGAGAAGAGAGGCCCAAGGCTAAGTTGCACTTGCTGCTCTCTGCTTTCTTGGGTGAGTACGTGACTCCAGTACTGTGATAGTTTAGAAAGACTTAACTAACTTTTACCTCCAGCTTCAAAGCCTAAGTCCAGGGTTGCTTAATCAATTTAATTTGCAAGTCCCAGTCATTAATTAATTAAAGAAAAAAAAATGAGGTTATTGGCCAAACAGCCACTAACACTAGCACAAGGTTAAGGCAGGGAATACAGGCTTGAGAAGAAGGCCTGGCAGGTCCTGCCACACAGGAAAGGGATTAACTCCTTCCCCAGCCTGCTGGTAGTGGTTTCCTGCCCTGAAGGGTATGCAAATGCTGTTTTCCTGGCTGCCTTACTTTGCCGTAAGTGACTTAGTCATTTGTATGAGTTACTTAGTACTTTGTGTTAGAGGCAGCGAACAAGAAACAGTATGGAAGGGATGAGGAAGGTTTTGGTGGAGGGAAAAGCTCTCTAAAGTTAAAGGCAGGGGAAGTCCAGCCAGCACTCCACTCCTGCATGTGGCGGGCAAAAGATTCTGAATGACTGTGAAGCTGGAATTGTGTTTCAGTGGACTAGCTGAGGCCCCAAAGGGATGGCAGCTTTTCAAAGGGAGCTCACAGGAAATACTTGCTCCACTACACGCACAGGAGTGGTGCCTGTAGCGGAGCAAGTATTGCACCAAAAGATGCATTGTTAACCTGATGATAATGTGCTTCAGCCCTAGAATTCATAGGGCTGTTTCATGTCATTTAGCTGCAAGCTTCTTTGCAAGTGTACACTGCACTGCAAGTGTAGTGCTTTGCATCCTGTGTGGAAGTCTTATTGACTGTTTATAGATAAATCACTCAGGGTAGCTAAATTTAGATCCTTCAGCTAAACAGCAAGTGGGTATTCACACCCCATGTGATGTATGTTTTGGGGGCATTAGATCTGGGAAATGAGCATCCATATTTTATTCGTTCCAGAGTTGCAAAGTATTAAATGGGTTATAGCCTTTCCTACATTCCTGGATTACAGAAGATAAACCTTTGAGTGAACTTGTTTGCAATGGCAGCAAGGTATCCATAGTTTTACTTCAGTGTAAGAATAAGTAGAAATAAGCTTGTGTTTAAGTGCAGCAGAGATTATGGTTGCTTGCCAATTCTGCTGCCCTTTTGGTGGTTAGGAAAAAAAATACAAAATAGCAGGACTTGATCACTCCAGCATGGCTCAGCTGATTTTATTTTATGGGCAATGCCAAAAGAAAGCAGCCTGTTCCATGGTGGCTCTTCCCTTTCTTAAGGTATCGTAGAATTTGGTTAGCCTCTGAAAAATCTTGTTGTGCGTACCTACACAGTTCCTGTGAAGTTTTGGAAAATGTTTGCTGAAACATATAGCTTGAAATGGAGAAGTCTTGAACTGCAAGATACGCTATATTTAGTGCCATCTCTTTCTGAAGCCTATCTTTTAGCTGCTTAGTCTTTCTTACTCTTGTGATCCTGTGAAAGACTGGATTTTCACACTGATGAGAAAGTTTGTGCAGATGATATTTCAGTAGAATTTAGTGCTCTTGGATTCATCTTCTGTGCCTTTGGGGGGAGGGTTCTTTATTCCACCTGTCAACTGAGACAGTATTTTTCATCTAAATTACAGCTGCAAGATGGTAGAGTTGCGGGCCTTAAGTAGTTATTCTTCTGTATTTTGCAGGGGGAGAGCTGTCATCTGTGTTCATCCTTTTTTAAAGTAATATTGGAAATACGTATAAATTTGGACTACTAGTATGCAAAGTTCTTCTGGCTAGCCACTAGCCAAGAACTTAGTAGACTTCACTTTGCCTTGTGCTGTCAGATAGAAGCTGTGCCTTGCTGCCCGTCCTTTAGCTTAGTGCGGGTCAGTTTGGGCACATTTGCCTGGTGCTGTTCAGGTTTGTAGCAGTCTTCATTCAGGATAAAAAGTGTTTTGCTCTTTTGTTCATAGAACACTGTTCTGCTATTTGTGTTTAAGACCTACTTTTAGAGAACAGTTGAATTATCCTCCTTTGATGAAACTTCATGCATCTCAATCCTATGGGTTGCTGCATTATCATCTAGGCTTCGGTGAGTCAGAGTCCTGAAAACAGAATGTATCCTGCACTTCCTATGTTTAATGTGACATCGCTTTAATTATGTTATTTTGTCAACTTTGGGTAGCAGAGATGAAAGTTTTCATACTCTGATCAGCAGAGAAAGCTGGTGATTCAGCTCCTGTAAACCCTGCCATTTGTGTTTTCTTCCGTGAGAAGATGTTTCTCGTCTTAAAAGGCACTTTTTGGGGGGTTTCAAAAGTTCATTGGTACCTGGTGGAGTGTGAATGGGTGTATCCTATAAATGTGGGTTTATTGGGATAATGTTTGGCAGTGTTTGCACTTATTAGTAGCTTGTGTTTTGAGAAAATAAGAGAAAGCATCAATGGTAAATATTTCTTTTAAATAAAACATGATTAAGTGAATGAAAGCTTGGAAAGAACTGTAGGTTTATGATGCTGTGCTAGGCCTTCCTATTACACATATTTTCATTTTATCTTCATCACAAATGCTGTGTAGTATTCTTTTTCATCAGCTGGCACATCTGACTTTCAACTGAAAACAGGAATACATTCATTTTCTCCCCCGGATTTGGTAGATTAGCTTGTCGTCTCATGGATGTTTCTGAAATGGTTAAACCAAACACAGTTCAGACTTGAGAGTCTGTTCATTGTATCTTAATGTGTCATACTTGAGCTCTTCGGTTAGCAGCAATTTAGTGGCAATGCCAAGATGGTGCAGTAATAACTGGTTTATGCTGTCATGACTGTCATCTCACAGTCCTTTGGCAAGTAAGCTTTAGTCAAGGGATCTCTTCTACTGTCTACACTGTGTTTCTGCAAAGGAAATATTTAATCTGTGGAGAACTTGAACTATGAATGAAATATTTTGATTGAGAACTTTCATGACTTTGACCTGTTCAGGTGTTTGGGGTCAAACACAGTATATATAAAGTGAGAAGGAAGTTAATAAAAATAACATTCAGCTCCCTCTCCCTGAAAGCATCCCCATCCTAGCCAGTTGAGTGCTTAACCTTGCGGCTGGGTTACAGAGTAACTCTTGAGATTTTAATAAGGAAAGTATGACAGCCAAAAATTGGTGAAAACATCTGGAAATTCAAATCCTGGAATATAACTGTTGCTTGTGGGAGAGCCTGGATCCAGTTTGTTTCATGCAGCCTGCTGCTGTCGTGGAAAGCATGAAAAAATAGCTTATGGCATAGCTATCCAAACGGAAGTGCTATGTAGCAGTGCTACCAATTGGGAGGAGAAAAATTGGTGAAGAAATCCTAAAGTTGTCCAGAAGCACAGGGTCTGATTATATCATAGGCATCCAATTCTCATTGTGATTGGTCTGGCTTAATATAAGAGTTTGGCATCTTAGGAAGAACTTCCTGTATCACATAATTAGCTCACCATCCTGAAAGAAATTATTGGTCTGCTTTCCTCTAGGCATTGAAGCTGAATGAAACTTGTTTTAGTGGGATTCTTGCAGATCACATAGGCAATATTGGGTGAATGTATATGGACAGAGGTACCCAAGCCTTTTTACTCTTCTGTGCTGGTTTGCTCTTTCAAGTATTCTTGCTAATGGCTTGAGCAGTGATTTGTATTCAACCCAGTGAGGCTTGTTCCTTTCTTGTTCTTAGTCCTTTTAGCCACTTTTCCCTGTCTTAGCTGTGTAATCTGTTTCTTCTGTGGTGATACAGTATTGTTCTATGCTCTACGTGGCAGATAGTGGTAAGATAGTCAGTTCCAAAAACGTAGGGAAATATGGGTAAATAATTCTAAAAATAATGGGTAAATAGTTCTAGAGGATCATTTATAGTTTGGAGAGTACTTTGCTGTGAGAAAGAACTAATTGGGAGGTGGGTGTTACTTTTTGTTGTGTTTGCACATACGGTAACCTGTCACGTATTGTTTTATATGCTAAGAAGCTCTTGTAAAGATTTCAGGTGTTACTACAAAAGAATACATAAAAGGTCTGTTATGCAACTGCACCAGCAATAAAAACCAAGCTATGTATATAATCACTGTGGAAAGAGCAGGGTTTTTTACTAACTCTTAGTGTTGAGAAGGTGCTGGAGAGCTTTTTTTGTCTTTGAGGGGAAATGGGGCTGGAGGTTTGGGGTTTTTGGGGGGGGGGGAGGTGTTGATTTTGTTTTGTTTTTCTCCAGCTTCATGGGATTCTAGATTCCCCATCACAACTTTTATTCTGGTATTCAGCTACTGTCTTCGAGAACAAAGTCTTTGTCCAGTTCTGTAACCTTCGTATCAAGAGTATTTTTCATGAAATAGATTTCTACCTTCTATCCCTAGTAGCTAACAAATCCACACTAGTCATATACGTAATCTGGAACTGTAACTCAGATTTTCTAAGGTTCTGACTTCCTGCAAAAGTTATTTAGTCCCCAGTGACAGCCTCCTTTGCTTTGATACAGTCACCTGCTACTTCTTATTTTAAGATTTGTATAAAAATTTACAGCCCATGTTCATGGCTGTGTGAATCAGAGGTCTGGGTTAATATTTAATAAAATAAATAAAAGAACCCTTTTCTCTCATTACATGATGGTTGATGGAAGGTGTGAAGGCCTACTAAGGCTAGCAATTGAGCCAAGTGGTTGGTGGTTTTTTTCCCTTTTTTCCACAGACCTTTGTCTGATAGAATCATAGAATAGTTCGGGTTGGAGGAGGCCATTGAAGACGATCTTGCCTAACCCCCCTGCAGTGAGCAGGGACATCTTCAACTAGACCAGGTTGCGCAGAGCCCCGTCCAACCTGACCTTATATGTTTCCAGGGATGGGGCATCTACCACCTCTCTGGGCAACATGTTCCAGTGTTTCACCACCCTCATTGTTAAAAATTTCTTTCATATATCCATTCTAAAATTATCCTGTTTTAGTTTGAAACTATTACCCCTTGTCCTGTCACAACAGGCCCTGCTAAAATGTTTGTCCACATCTCAAGAAGTAGGAGCAGTCCTAGGAGGGTGAGAGAGAAGTCTTTCAGGAAGAAACACATCACAGTGCACAGGAAGGGCAGTGTTTTAGCAGCTGTCACTGAATAGCTGTTTAGAGGCACACACAAAAAAACACTTGCTGCTTTTGTCTCCACAGCTGGACTCTGCTTCTTCATTGCCACATGCTTACCATTATTCTCCCTGCTGGAAAATGAACTCCACTGTTCCTTAGAGTGGTTTAGCATTTTGTAGAAGTATCTGGAAATGGTATAGGAGTTTAACTTTGACATAAATTTGTAAAGCTGTTTTATGTAGGGTTTTTTTGGGAGTAAATTTGTTACTTTTATATCTCTGACGATATAAGGATATAGTTCCTCTGTTTTAAGAGCTAACTAAATGTTCTGTAAATTTGACACCTTAATTGAAATATTATGCTGTGTATTCCTTTCCTATGCAAGCAAAGGCATTTAGTGCAAAATTTAAATGTATGTGAAGAAACAAGTCATATAATTAGTTTTAGTCTTTCTGTTCTTTGTCATCTAATCATGAAAAACATTATTGTTCTCAATGGCAACCTTGCATGTGTCGCTGTGGGGAAAAGTGGGTTCAGACTGGTTATCTGAGCCTTAATGACAGTTTTGACCTTTTCTTTTGTATGAAGTGTTGGGGAAGTATGATGATAAAGTTAGTTACAAACCAGCAGAGAGTGTGCATCTTGTTGTTCTGTGTTGTGGAAGTAGGCTTGGCAACCTTTCTTCTTCCGTCAGTATAGTGGTATCACCTACATAGACTTTTATTTAGTCGAGGAGGTGTTTCATATATCAAGATACAAAATGAATTTTTAAAAAAATATTATTAGTTTGTGGTCTGTTTGAAGACCCCCTTCATGTTGGTATTACTTATTTAAAAAGAGCATTTCACTGTCTATTTTTGAAAAACCATGATGGTAGTAGTTCTTCGGTGATTTTTTGAACGATTTGCTATTGAGCAGCAAAGTGATTTAAATTTTCATTGTTTAAAGGTGTAATATGCAAAATTAGAAACAACTTTTCATTGTCTATGCTTGAGAATTTTGCCCTTTTATAGCATCTTGAAATCCTTCAAGCAAAAGCATCCATGATGTCATTGCAGCTCTTTTTGCTAGGAAGTATTATTTCCTGTTTAACATGTTGCAAAGTTTGTGGCTTCAGACTCAGAATTGTCTCTGTATTCCTTCAACAGTGTTGCCGCAATTTAGCGACTGTAGGTAAATTTAATTTTCTGGCGAAATAACAATTTGATCCTATAGCCTGTTAGGTGATGTTTTTTATGTGTGGGGGTTTGTTTTTTTTTTTTCCCCACCTGCCAACTCTGATTTTCACCTAGTGTCTTGGCAATCTACGATGGCTTTTTGATTCTGTGGAGAAGAAGTGAGAAGCTGTGTTTTCTGGGTAGATCAGACAAAGCTATAGGAAAATCTACTGAAACTGAAGTGTAGAAGTCACTTCTGTCTGTTTTGTATGCCACACTGTAATTTGTTCTTGTACTCTTGGAACATGCATATCATGCATGACTCTTCATCAGTCACTGTTGAACTTACTCAGCAGCTATGTTCCGAGAGCTCATTTTTATGGCTCTTCATGGACATCATTGCTATTTTTTTTCCTAACTGAGTGCTAGGTTTCTTTCTTCCAGAGTAAAGGAAAGAAAGGAACATTCACTGAGGTGCTTGTTCTCCAAATAATTGCTAAATGGCATTGCTAGAGTGCTTACGTGACATTCCAAAGGTACTATGAGACTCTGAATATTGTGCTCTTGATTTTTTGAGATGCTTCTCCTCAAAAAAGGACCTGCAATACTTCCCACTGTTAAATTAATTGTCTTTTATCATAAGATACATATTCATAGGGTGTTTAATTGGGAAGTGGCTTGGACCAGCATTAGTCTTTCAAACATTACTAAAAAAATGGTTGCTACATCTAACATTTGTGTAGCCTGAAGCTGCAAGCTGTCTTGTAGGCTTTCTTATCCCTGGTGCATACGAGTAGTGCTTCCTAGAAATAAGCCCAGGCTTCCCCTAGGAGGAGGATAACAGCAGAGGGCGCTAGGCAGATACTTGTCATCAAAATTATTTTCTCAAAACTCATTCACATCCTTTAAAATAATGTTCATTTAAAGTAAGTGATCAAATAACTTAGACCAGTTGCAAAGACTGTGCTGAAGCACATACCAAGGGAGGAAGGGAGAAAAGAGCTTTGTCTTGTGAATTTGTACATTTGCTGACGTGGTAGGGGGGAGGCTTTCAGATGCCCTGCATGCTGTGTGCATGAAAATGGAGTTGATTCATAGCAGCCATGCAGAAATTGTGTGTATTGATGGGCGGTTTTTTGTTAAGAGATTATTCTTGCTACTGTGTAATCAGGCAATCATAGAATGGTTTGGGTGAGAAGAGACCTTAAAGGTCATCTAGTTCTGATCCCCCTGCCATGGGCAGGGACACCTTCTTCTAGACCAGACTGCTCAAAGCCCTGTCACAACTTGGCCTGGAACACTGCCAGGGAGGGGGCGGCCACAGCTTCTCTGGGCAGCCTGTTCCAGTGCCTCAACACCCTCAGAGTAAAGAATTTCTTTCTTCAATCTAGTCTAAATCTACCCTGTTTCAGTTTAAAACCATTACCCCTTGTCTGTAAAGGGTGCTATAAGGTCTCCCAGGAGCCTTCGCTTCTAGAATATTACATAGCACCCTCAAAAAATTAACTGTAAGTTTCTCTCAGAAAGGCTGTTTGGTGTGCAGTCTATGGAGGGGACTGTGTTACAAACTAACTCGTCTTTAGTCACGAGTAATTCTGTCATTAAACCGCTCAGTCTTAAGGTCCCTGCCATTCCCCTGCAGAACAGCAGCATTTTCAAATCTTACCTTCCCTATGAAGACCAGAGGCTTGCCATTATGTAGACCTTCCTGTTTGTCTCTGTGTTAATAAAAAACCACCCTGAAATACTCAGAACACAAGTAGTGCATAGACCTGTTTGCAGCATTGTCCTCTCCACTTCCATCTGATGCTAGGGAAGTTTGAATGATTTATGTTGCTCTACATTTGATCTTCTGGTTGTGGGGGGCCTATGAGAGGTTTGTGTGAGCAATGTTACGTCTAAAAGCTGAGTTTCTTGTGTAAGTTCATTGAGGAAGTGTTCTTGAATATATGCTCCAAAAGTACTTGAAGGCCTGGTGACTTTCGAAAGCAGAAAATGCTGTGGAGAATTTGCCTTTTAGAGAATGTACTGCTATTATTTGTAGCAAAGTTTACAAGCTTGTGACGGCAAAGATGCTAAGCCCTGTCAGTAGTTTGTTTCCTTAATTAAATATAAAGCTTCTTAATTGCTAACACGTACACTAAATGTGTGGGCTTTACTCTGTTCTATATGCTATTTGGTATAATTTTTTTTTTACTTTTGAAGATCCTTTGACATTGGGAGTAAAAGAAGGTAACCTTTTCCTTTCTCCAACAGATCCAGACATTTAATGTTGAGGCACCATGCCAGACCATGGAAGATTTAACGAATGGGGTTGTGATGGCCCAGGTTCTTCAAAAAATGTAAGATTTTTTTAATGTAATGAATTAAATACATGCAGTTTTATTATTGATAAATTTTTCTGTATTTAAGTGTATTTTAGTTCCAGCGTGTCTGGTATTACATAAGAATTTGGCTTTTTATATGCTTAGACAGTATTTTCGTCTGCAACATGTCTAATACGATTTTTTTCTCTATAGTTTTCAGAAAACTATCTGAAGTGCAAAAAAAAGAAGTTATATTTTAGGGAGGTATTTTTTCAAGTGTGAGCTTACTGGAAAGTAAGTTGGATTAAAGTTAAGCTTACAAATTCAAACTTTAAACTTCTATGATAAATTGAATGGAACTGTCAATCTAGTTGTTTGCAAAGATACTTGCATTCTTGAAAGTGAAGGAATAATAGCTGTTAAACTAGATATTATTTTTGTTCTTTTTGAACTTTAAGGTCAAATAGGATAAAATGCATGAGTTCAACATCTCAATGTCTCAATGTTTCTGGGGAGTACAGATATACATGTATATATGTAGCTATATGTAGAGTTATGTATTTTCACAGAAACACAACTTTTTATCGTTCATTAGAAAGTGAAGAAGCGTTTACCGAAATCAGTAGTCCGAACTGAGCATGCCAGTTCCTGCAGACCTATTTTTTAAAAAAAATATATACTTTATTCCTTTTAATGTGAAGAAGGTACTGTCTTGAGTGTAAATGCAATCCCATCAGTGGCAGGGAACAGCACTGAAAGGGGCAGGAAAACTCACCTGATTAACAAATGGCTCAGGGACTGGTGCCATTGGTCAAATTTTGGCTTCTTTGGTCATGGGGAGGTGTACACAGCACTGGGCATGCTGGCGACAGGTGGGTCGCAGCTGTCTCAGGGGAAAAAGGATTCTTGGCCACGAGCTGGCGGGGCTCATTGAGAGGGCTTTAAACTAGGTTCGAAGGGGGAAGGGGACATCGCCCAGCTCACTAGGGATGAGCCCAGACTTGGCGTGCCAGGGTCAGGGGTGAGATTGACAGCCCAGCTCAAG